AACAAATGAAGGCGACAGCTAAAAGAAAAAAATGGTGAGGGAGGAGGCTGGAGTAGCGGGTGAAACACAGACCATTTTTCTACAGAGGTGGCGAAGAACATCAAAGCTCGACATGTCTCACCTTCTACGATAGAGAGAAAGAGAGAGAGAGACAGAGAAGGGTAGAAGGTGGGGGGGGTGGGGGGTGTCACCTTTCATCATGCCACTGTTACCACCCTTGATACCTGTGGTAAGCTGCCAAGAGTGTGTAATTGTTGACTTTGTGCATGTGTGTGTGTGTGTGAGAGAGAGACAGAGAGAGAAAGAGTGTTAGAATGATGGATAGATGAGGGGGCGCTAACCAAAAGCAGACTAAAAATGTTACATAAGATATGATGTCTATATTCCCTCCATCCGTCCCACTCCTTTCTGATCTCACAAATCAGGTTCTGGGGGTGCAATGACGGGAGCCACCAGCAGGGGATGTAGATCAAAAGGGCAAATCTGCTGAGTGACAGTGGTGCTCATGCAATTAGGCCAGACCACAAATGTATTGGATGTGAAAGTGTAGAAGCCTCTAATGATGAGCTAGTTTTGCAATTTACCTTTGCTGCCGTTCCATTAAAATCTCACAGGTCCCTTTCATTTTTTTTTTTTTGTTCTTATTCCACTGCAACTTAAGCCAGTTGTTTCATGCGTGGATTACGCAACATTAACACGCATCAAAACCTCGTTATCAATTGTGCTTCAAACGCTGACCAAGTTCTCAGATTTCCTGAAAAACACAGTGATACAAGATTTTCATGTGATGTTGCAAGCTCCACCGTCATCCTCTTTGAGCCGGTGTGCCGTCTATCTGGGTCAACCTTCATTAAGAATTTAGCCACCACCAGTGAATCTAGGCGCAACATCTTGGAAAACTTGTAAAACCTGACAACAAAAGCCCCTTCCCCCCCCCCCCCCCCCCGATACCTCAGCTCGAGCAACAAGCAAAGTTGATTTGTCTGAATTTTAAATGCAACAGATGTTCCACTGTTATTTTTTTTGTGCCAACTGTTACCAGCAGATTCAGCTCCACATTAATACTTTGTTTATCTCCTGTGTGTCAGCTTATATTGTGAAATTCATTTAGTTGTCAGAGCTTCGAGTATTTTTATTTATTGCACTCAAAAATCTAAGTTACTCTGAATTCCTTCAAGAGACGAGCGAGTCGCAGGGGACATGAGAAATTGGTTCTTTACAAGAGATAGCCTGAATAATGATTGGTGACTAGTATCGGAGCGCAGTGGCCAACATCTTCTTGTGGAATCAATATCTCTGCTGAATCAATTGGAGGTTTAGCAGAGGTTTCCTGCTGTGTACCGAATCAGGAAAACAAATAAAGCTGAAAGACAGATGAGACATGCATCAAGATTTAATGGATCTGTTGCCCAGTGCCAGAATAGCCAGACTCCAAAGACACTGGGAAGAAGAAAAGGATCGATAAAATTGAGCAAATATTTTCAAAACACAAAAACAAGATGTAACAAAAAAAAAAAAGATCCATTGATCATAAAATTATTATATTAAAAATCGCCTGAGACACTATAAGACTGGAAATTATCAATTGAAAAAACTTTAAATACACTTGTGGAGAAAACAAATATTTAACTGTCGGTAACTCACCATACACCAGTAGGGTGTAATGATCAGCAGCACGTCCAAAGTTGTTCTGGGCCTGGCACAAGTATGTCCCGTTGTGTGACTGGCTGAGACGGGAAATCTGGAAGGTGGGGCCAGAAATCTCAGCCCTCTCAGGCAAGGTGTCGTTGATCTTGGACCACTGAATGTTCCTGGGCCTGGTGGAAGGAGAGAGAGAGAGAGAGTTTAATGTTTGATAGCGCTGAAATAATGTGTCGACTCATTGATTGGCTGATTGGCCAATCAGAACTTAGGGGAATTCACTCTTTTAATAATCAATTAATTACTTGAGTCAGTTATTGGACAAAAATTCCAAACATTTGTTGGTTTCAGCTTCTCAAATATGAGGATTTACTGCTTTTCTATGTTTTTCATATTTTTGTAATCTGGAGAACTTTGGGTTTTGGACAAAATAAATAACTTGAGGACAGCATGTTAGGCTCTAAGAATACTGAATCATTTTTCACTATTTATTTTACATTTTAGGGTTAGTGTTTTGTTGAATAATCCAAAAAAAAAAAAAAACTACTGACCACAATGTTAAAACTAATGAAAATGCAGAGCCACATGGCCTCACACATTCATGCACACTCATATATACAAATTACAAATCCTGACACAGCACAATGTTCAGTCTCTACTGTGTGCCATGCAAATACAGTTCAATTATAGATTTACATATATCATTACTTCTGCAAGATCTAGTATTTCCTCTATAAGCATCAGCGTTGGGCAGTTCACATTACTTGGTGCTGTGTTACAGTAATGTGATTACTTTTTCAGCAAGAAGCAATGCAAGGGATTACAATTTTCCAGTTACTGTCTTAGTTTGGTGTAAGGTTGATATCAGTTTGGTTTCTGTGTGTTCAGTGGAGAGACTGGGACGTGTGAACTTGGAGCAGGGGTTGGAGGTGTGGGGAAACATTTAGCCTCCACATAGAGAGGAGAAATAGTAACTCCCGTGTTCTTCTATTCCACACATTTTGTCTCTTTAAATGTACACACATTACATGTAGCTGGCTTGCTAACGTTAGCTACAGGTAATGAGGAATGAACAGGAATGAACTGGTTTTATTCAGAGTTGGTGGGTGGGTGAATCCTGCAGCTTCAATCTGAGGACAGAACCTGAAGACTCCACGCATCAAGCTGTTGATGCTCAGTAAATACTTGGCTGCTCACATACTGTCTTGTTCTCTGTTCCTACACCTGTTAAATACAGAAGGTGGGACGTGTAGGTGTGCAAGATTTGGACCGAGTAACAAAAGTAATGTAGGCTAACACCTGATTACATTTCCAAGTAACTCGCCAAACGCCGACGACCGACCGACAACTACCTCTCTGACTAATACCAATTGTAGACTGTTATTCTTTTCATAAAACCTACTAAAGGGTTTTAAAAATTAGGAATTGAAAAGAGACAAGGTTCGAAGCACAGACATCGGGGGATGCTATAAAAAGAGAGGTGAAAGAGGAGGGTAAAGGAGCCTATGGGGAAAGGATGACATGAGAAAAAAGTATAAAAGGAGCTTTGCAAAGGAGCCAATGGCAACAGAGGGCTGCATCCTGACAAATAATGAGAGGATGGATAGTCAGAGGGCAGCCATGGTGTGAAAGGGTTGGCAGGTGGGAGATGGGGGCAGATGAGAGAGAAATAGAGTATCAGATGTGCGGACAGGAAAAAAAAAAAAACAAAAAAAAAACAGGAGGGAAGACAGGACTAGAGAGAAAGTGTTACTACAGGTGGAGGAAGGACAGAGAGAAGAAGAGATGGTGTGGTGGGAGATGACAGGAAGGAGCAGGCAGACAAAATGAATTGGTCATGAAAGACCAGCAGGCAGCGCACACAGGAGGTGCAAGGATTACAGAGACACCCTGGCGAAAAAGGTTGCGTGTGGAAGTGTGTGTGTGTGTGTGTGTGTGTGTGTCTGGCTGGGTGTCATGCCTCATGCCACCCTGTCCAGATTACAATCCTGACTCATCTGGGTTCTAATCCCTCAGGAGGTCTAATTAAACCTTTCTTGCTTAGTCACACACATATGCACAATCTCTCTCACTCCTACACACTGATACAAAATCTCCCTCCGTTCCTCCCTCTCCCCGACGCACCCATGTACTGTACACCCTTGCACTCTCCCTCACACATTAATTCCTTCTAACGCTAACACACAAATAAGCAGGCAATCAAGGAAAATGACAAGACATTGTCCCCCATCTCTCCTCCTAATAACAGACAGACAATGAGTGTACCCCTTCACTGAAAGGAAGTGGCACATAATTGGTCATTAATGCTTAACAGGCAGTTAACAGGGCCAGGGAGCAAGCGTGAGGGTGACAAGGGGACTGTAATGTGTGTGAGTGTGCGTGTGTGTGTGCAGTCCAGCATGAGATGAGGGTCAGAGTCCAGAGTGGCCTGCTGTCCCATCCCTCACATACGCGTGCATACACACACACACACACACACACACACAAAATCACACACAAACACACACAATCACACAATCACACACAGCGTCCCCAGCCAGCCGTTACAAAGCTTTAGTGGGGCTATAGCCAATACACTTTTCAGCCAGTCCTCACTGTGGGATTTCACTAAAGTCATCACACACACACACAAACACACACGTTGGCTGCATGAAGCTTTACTGGGGAGCTTTAGTGGACTTGATGCCCACAGACAGACGGACCATCTAGGGGAGGGTTTAAGAGCTTAGGACCCAATACCCTTCTGGAAAGTGCACAAAGGGCTGTGAACACACTAGAAAAAGGGCTTTGTTTCAAAGCTGGCTCTTAAAAGTATTGACTGCTGATTGGGTTTAGTAGCTCTACCCTCACACAGTCACATACAAGTTTATAACTTGTCCAAATTTACAATCAATGCCTAGTATCCTTTTACACCCTTCCTGGTAACCTCTCCGTCTCAAGTCTTAAGCTCTTTTCCTCTTTGTTCTCTCTGCAATAAAATATGGATCAAGTGGTTTTTATCTGTCCATCAAACATTAAATGTCAGCTGATAGTACAGATACCAGTCTTCTGGTTTTGATTAAATTCTTTGGCACTGCGTTGTATCCTATTTAATATAATACAATATAATATAATATAATATAATATAATATAATATAATATCCTCATTGCTTCAGTGATGGTGGTAATATTGTAAATATACATGTTTTATAAATGATAACACTGGTTTAACTGCAATTACAGTCCAAGGGATGATGTGTTTGGAATTGACTGGCCCAACAGGGGGGCCTGCATCATTTGTGGAGGAAAGTATGTGGTCGTACTTAATGTCTATCTCCTCATAATTTGCTACAAAGGAGTTAATACAAAGCTGCTGTTCATTCCTAAGAATAGATCATAGGAAGAACAAAGAGATCTTACAGCAGTTACGGAGAATATATTGAAGTTGATATACTTTGTAATTATCTTGAGGTTTCTAAGAAAGAACCCTGAAATTACATGGGGTAGCAATTATAAAGAAAGAGGTCAGCTTAATGTTCATTTCAACAACTCATAATAAAGAGAAATATTAATGCTTTAGACAAACACAGAGGCCAAAGATCTCTTGTGTCCGCTCGGTTATTTTGGTTACACAGGGGAGACACTGTCCTCTATTTTTCTTTCTTTTTCTTTTTGAAGCTGTATGAGGGCTGATAAGGCACATATGTTTTAAAGTGGATAGTAATTACTTGGAAAATAAACAGTAATACATTTTATTTTTCTCTCTCTCTCTCTCTCTCTCTCTCTCTCTCTCGGCCAGTGAGAAGCTTCACTGGAGCAGGTGGATGTTACTCCAGGATATTTACACGATTCCTGTAAAGAACAAGGGGATTTTCTGTGCACAGAGGAAAGTATTACTTGGGAAATAAACAGAAAAAGATATCAATGAACCTGTCTGTGTGTTGTTCACAGATCACCTACCGTGTCTGATTCATCTCTACAGCCCATGATTCATACTTCAGGCAAACGATGACAAGTTGGGATGACGACTCATTGCTGTATCTGTGTGTTCATCTCTGTGTTATATATCTGTGTATATGTTATATGGCATAGTCTCAAAAACAGTTTAAATTAATTAATCTTGCAAACGTAACATTACTATTATTACATATCTTCATTGTTTTTTTTTTTTATTGCTCTAGCATTACCAGATACGTATCAACCTCATCAGTTAAGCCGCTGAGCTACTCTCTACAGACTGTGGTCACAGTGATGACGACCTTTGGTTGTGGCTTTTGCAATCAGTCCAGGTCTCTCAATCGGAGCTTATTCTACATTTCCGTGTGTAGAATAATTAATGAAGGTGCTCTGGGTAAATGTGTGAACTCAAAGGTCCCATATTGCAGAAAGTGAATTTTCCATGGCTTTTTTGATTCAATTATTATATAAAACAGGTCTAGGTTCTATATAAATACTGTGAAAGTATCAAAGTGCTCAGTCCACAGAGAAATGCACACAGCCTATATTCAGAAACTCTGCTTTCAAAATGTAACTTTCTGTAACTTTGTGATGTCACAACGAAGCAGACGCCACCCTCAGCTATGCCCACAGCATGGCTCACTTGGACCCACCGCCTTACCTTTTTTTTTTTTTCTTTTTTCTTTTTTGCCTTTGTCGTTTTAACCTTACTAATAACACTACACCAAGAAGCCATTCTGTCCATGAGCTAGCAACTACAAGACAGACAAATAATGTGGAGGACAGAATCAGACACAAAAACCCCTGGTTGTTGCTAGAGCTGCAGAGAGAAGCCTGAGAGAGGAGATGTAAAACTACAATGAGATGGTTTTTGGTTCTTAAAACCACAAAAGAACACTGGAAAAGTGTGAAATATGGGACCTTAAAGACGAAAGACAGCAGAAACTTTACCCTCCAAACAGACTGGCTGAATGGAAGCACAGCCTTGTGGGTTTGTTGCTACCCACTGTGTGGTGATGATTGGGACTAAACGTCATTCTCATTGTAGCTCAAAACACTTCCCCCAGACTGTTTCAACATGAGTATTTGCTGTCCCATAATATCATGTTGTGAAATGTTGTGTTTGTAAAGGGTTGACATTGAACTTGGCAACTTCCTGCATGTCCTCATCAATCAAAAGCTTCCTGTGCATCCTTAAGCCGATTTGTCAAGGCTCATTGCAGCTTTTCGAGCACAGGCACTTTGTTGAGACAAACCTTTTATACTCTGTGATTATTTTGTCACGAATTCATTATAGAATGAGAGAAAACGCCTAAACACGCTGCAATGACAAACCATAAACAGGTTCACAAGCAGCATTTGGTAGCAGCTGGTAAATATGTCAGGATCATATCTTGTGGAAGCTGCAATGATTTCACTTCTAGTTCAAATACATTTTTCAAGAGTGAATGAATACAAGTCAAGTCATCATACCTCCTTAAACCATGAATTCATGAGTCTTTCAAACATTCTTCACATTAGCAAAACAAGCTGTCATTCACACATATTTCACAAGGCAGACAACAACAACACAAATCGATTCATCACGTGCAGACACACACACAAAGACTTACAGAGGGTTTCCACTGACGGAGCAGGTGAGGCTAAGCGAGTCGCCCTCTCGCAAAATGCCAGAAGGAGGAACAATTCTCACTGTGGGTGCAACTGTAGAGAAAGAGAAGGAAAAACAGGGGAAGAAATGAGTGAGTGACAGAGAAAACAAAAAAAGCTCAATAGAAAACAAATGGATCAAAATTATCAAAATGGAGCGACAATCTAAAAAGACAGAAAAAAAAAAACGGGAGAGAGAGGCAACAAGAGAGGGAACAAAAAGGAGGAACAAGGGAAAAGTGAGTAAGTGACAGGGGGTAGGGTCTTTAACATCTGTTTCCAAGGCAACCAGCCGACAATCCCACGGCTGAGACACCTGTTATCATAAGCAGCCCACCGCTCAAGCAGCTGCTGTACTGCACTTACTTCAGTAACAGAGAGATGGGAAGCCAAATGCACACTGACAGTTGGTCATTACTGCCAGCTCTCTGGCTGGAGGAACCCAGCAGCACGCAGACTGACAAAACTGTTGAATATGAATCATTCTGATCTATCAACAAACATTAATATACACGTGGCAAATGAAATGCACCGAGAGAGCGGTGCAGAGGTACTTGCTGAACATGAATCACATCACCAAATAATTACATAGGCCTATGAAATGTTTGACTATTCAGAATTATTGATATATCGTGAGATAAGAATCATATTGACCTGTCAGCAATACTGATATGGGAGCACAAATGGAGTAATTGAATATTGGCTGACTTGCCAAACAGCATCACAGTAATACTGGCGGACAAAAACAATTCTATACACTTTTAGCATCTATTTTCAGGGAATATAAATAGTATTGATGTTGTTCACTGTAATGTGATACCTTTCAGTGCTTTTAATGTCAGTTGATGTTTTTTCTGACATTTCTTTGTTTTTCTAAATTATATTAAAGATTGCAAACACAATAATACAATTCATTAGAGAGTAATCCTACTGAACTGTTCTCGCTCACATAAAAAAGAAAAAAGAAAAAAACAAAAGACAGAAATGTCACGACTGCAGAAATAGGAGCAAAACTTAACATGTTTGATAGGATTAGAGGCCAACAAAATGAATTTACATTTAATAGATATTAAATGATGAATTTTAGACCTTCTCGAAGAGGGCTCTAAATTATAGATGTCTGACATTTTAAGCATTAATCCTATTGAACCATCCACAGACGTGAAAATATTGAGAATCTAGCTTAAAATAAAAACATGGCTCTATTTGAACTTATTGCCCTGAGTTAAAATTAGGCTTAAGCCAATTATAAATTATATAAAATCTCTTGCAGTATTTTTACTCTCTGCGTTTGCCTCCCTCAAATGGACATATGTGGAGAGATTTCAGAGCATGCTAACTCGTGCGAATAAGCAAGCAAGATCAATCAGTCCCTGAAAAGTACTGGTCTCTTTGCACATACTAATGTTTTCTCAGCTGATGCTGGGTTAGCTCCTTAAACCTCAGGCCAAGACCCTAACCTGGCCACAGGCCTATTGCTTTCCGCTCTCTGCATGACAAGATTTGAATGTATTAGGTTTTAATGAGTGCAGGTCTCATACAGGGCAGCTCAGAGTATCACCCCTGGACTGAAAATCCTGGACTGTGTATAAATGAGCATCACTCTGAAATGAGATAGCCACCATTTGAAAAATGAGGCTGCTACCTTGACAAAGTTATTGCTGGCATTTAAGTAAAATTATGATTATAAATTAAGTGACAGCACTACAGATGGAATAATATGTTTTTTTTTTTAACGTTATGTTTCTAAGATGAAACAAAATGTAGACACACACATACTTGGCCTGAAGGAGAGACTTACAATACACATCCAGGCGGTAGTGCCGAACCCTCCTCTGTGTGCCCAGTGCCGGGTGGAACGCCTCGCAGCTCAGCGCCGCCCCATTGTCTTTCCTTTCTACCGGGATCCGGATGGTGCTGGAGACGCTGAAGGTCTTCCCGTTGTCCTGCTGGGACACTACACCTGGAGAGAGGCGGAGAGAACAGAGGGGATGAGATGATGGAAGGAAAGAAGACGGCTGGGGTGGCCAAGAAAAGAGGCAGCAGCCAAAACGTGCCCGTTCTTCCTTTTTCCCTGCTGAGACATCACACCTATGGTGGGAGACTTCTAGAGGAGAGCATGGAGGAGGATAGATGAAATGAGCGGACAGAGAGGAAGAAGAAGTTAGCAATGACTTAGCTTTTTAGAGCAGCAGCAGGTACCTGTAGAGGACAAAGTAAGAGCGAGGGAGAGAGAGAGAAGTGAAAGCAATTTGCATCTATATTTCATGGCAATTATGAGCAGCAGAACTGTTTGTTTGCAGATGGTAAATCAACTGAATGTTTTGTGCGAGTGAAAGAAAGCGAGACAGAGATGGAGGAGGGAGAAGGATAAAAGGGAGAATATGCATAACTGAATTGAGATTTTAACTGAGCCAGACATGGGGAGAGAGGGGCGTCAAAGGAGCAGGGTGAGAGAAGAAAGGCAAAGGAGAGAGGGACTCGGAGACGGAAAGAGAGGGCAGCAAAACGGGCATGAGGGCGAGACGAGCCGAGACATGAAAGCGGATGATAAGAGTGCCAAGCCAGATGCAGAGTGGAATAAAGATGCGAGAAGAGAGGAGGAGGATAGACAGAAGGAGGGAGGAGGAACAGCAGGGCCGACCTAACGGGACTTGACATGGTCACGTATTAGGAGTTTGTGCTTGTTGAGGCAGAATACAACAATATTACTTATATCGCGCTGAGTTTTCAATTATTGCCGGCGAGCAAATGAAAGCAGTCCCAATCGAAGCGTGAGAGAGGACGGCGGTGGGTGCAGATGAGCGGGAATAAGGGAGCGGTGGGAAGATAGTAGCGTAATTAAAGAGTGCTTTCCCATATCTGTTGTGATCTGCCTCTAACCTTTAGTGTCACAGTTCATTTAACTCAGGGCTGTAAGAGAGGGGAGGAGAGGAGAGGAGAGGAGAGGAGAAAGGAGGAGAAAAGATTAGAGGAAAGGAGAAAAGGAGAGACAATCAAATAGGAGGAGACAGGAGGAGGAAACAAGAGAAGTGTTAGGAAACAACATGAGACTGGAGAGACAAAAGTGCAGCCCCCTGTCTGTCTCTTTGACTCTTTAAGCAACCAATAACCAAGCTGAGGAGCATCACATCTTTGTCACCAGTGAAATTTGAATAAAAGAAATGAAAGGGAGATCAGATGAAAGGAAAAAGGAAGGAGTAAAGGGGAAGGACAGAGAGAGGGGAGACCGAGTGATGGTGACAGGCGTGCTCTGACATAGCAAAGGGGAAGAGACTGGATGAAAGAGACGCTCCAGCGACAGACAAAAATAGAAAGTAAAAGAGACGATGGCTGACATGAAGTTTGAAAGGGCAAAACATTTCTCAATGCATGTCCCAAAAAGTGTTGACACCAGATTATCTGACATTATTTCATCTGCTCTGTGTGAGTTATTTGACGGCACAGAGTATGAATTAATGGACAACAATATTTACCAAAAAAAAAAAAAAAGGTGCATTAAACTGAATCAAAACAATAGCCGCAAGCCTCAGTGAGAGACACTTTGCATAACTTAGTCTCCAAGTTTTCTTTTGTTTGCCTTCAGTCAACTGAACAAGGTTTTTGAGGAATTCAAATCAGAACGTAGCATTATACACAAACGCTGATTTAACGGCAGAGGTTACGCAGACTGAAAGCAATGGAAAGATAGGTCTCAGATGTATTATTGAGTGAAATGCCTCTTTAGTTGTGAGAAGCTGAGGGAGACAGCGAGTTATAATGAAGGATAGATCAAGGTAACAGACTGATGGATGCCTCATAGATTTATCAGAAGCAAAGAAGTAGGGAGAGTTAGAGGATGGCGAATTAAAAAAGTGTCTCTTCATGCGTGCGTGAAAGAAGAGTGGAGTGAGAAAAGCAGAAAGTCTGGAGTGTATGCAGCATCTGTGCTTTTACGCAATGGGGTAATTGTCAGATTATGTGCAAATCAAGGTTATTTGAATTTAATTTCTGAGAGAGCACAAGGAGAGAGATATATGCAGAGAGGGAGGAGATATGTATCTGTTTTTGGTGGTGAAAGACTAATGGAAGTCTCGGAAGGACAGAGAAGCACCGAAATGTTTCTAGTACTTTGTTGGTGGTGTCTGTATTCTCAACACACAGATCGACGCACAGACATAGCCGAGAATTTGTCTGTGAACTTTAAAATTTTCTCGAAGGGATGGAAACAGAAAGTTTTAACTGTACAGATCTCAAAAAGTGTGCTTGATCATTTGAAACTAGATCATTGCCTCTAAATATTGCAAGGAACACTTGCTCAAAATTAAGGAAACGGGAGGAGGAGAGAGATTTTGGCAGCCCTGCAGCCGAAACCGCCATTCTCTCCATTCATTTATCCATCCATCAATCTTTACCTGCTTTCATCAAGTAATCCATCTCCCATTCCCTCTGTCAAACCATCAATCACCAATCCATTCATCCTTCTTTTATTCAGCACTCAATCTTTGATATCATCCACCCATTTCATGTCACCTGCCCTATATTACCTCATTAATTTCCTCATTTATCCCTCACGATCATCTAACCATCCATCAGTCCATCTGTCAGCCACATCCAGGTACCTGGTATTTCCCGGCCGTTACGCATCCAGCGCAGGGTGGCAGCCGGCTTGCTGCGTGGCGACACACAGGTGAGCTCTACCTCTCCGCCCTCCACGGCCTCCTGCTTCACGTCCACCGTGGGCGTCTCCGGCGGCACCAGGACAGAAAGCGTCGCCACCTGGTGGTGCGTGGCGTCCGTGTAGAGCTGACAGAAGTAACCGCCCTCGTCAAACACGCTGACGTTGGTCAACTCGATGCGCACCAGCCGTGGCGTGAAGAGCACCATCTGGAAACGGTCGTCCTTCAGTGCTGCAAGTGGGCGAGGATAATGGAGAGAGGGTGGCAGTGGGATGAGGGCGTTGCGGAAGTGAGACAGCATGGGTTGGGGTTGTTGGGGGGGGGGAGTGGAGGGAGGAAGTGGAGGTGTGATGGGAAGAAGGGGAGATGGCAGCGGGAGAGAAGGTGGAGGGTGGAGGGTGGAGGATGGAGGGTGTTGGGTGGGGGGCACAAGAACAAGGAGAGAGAAGGTGAGTTCATCAGTCACTGGTAGAGAAAAAATCTAATCATCATCCTATAATGTGATATAAATTCAAAACGCTACTAAAGCCTGTATCCAGACAGAATAAACAGAATAAAGGTACAAAGGGAAAACAAGAAACATTGTTTTTGCTCTGGGTCAGTGTGTAATTGATTCATTTCTAGAGCATTAAGAATTGTTTTCGCCCCCTTCAATGTCACGGACGAGCGAAAGCTTAGTCTGCCAAAGTGAGTGTCACATTATTAAGAACTTGTTTGTATCCATTTTACTGGCAGGCCTTTACTTGCCTTATTTTGCATTTGTTTGTGAGATGAGAAGCACATAGTCTTTCCACAAGCGGGGGGGGGGGGTGGGGGGGGTGGGCGGGGGGGGCGTTTGTGGCAGAGCATTTCATTTCTGTAAGAACTCGTATCAACCTGTGTATCTGTCTTATCCAGCATTGCCGGAATTTGACAATTTTTCTCGTTGTTTTTTTGGTTTCAGCCATTTTGGCAGAGATAGATGAAATCTCATTCTTAAAACCTGTTGGCTCCAACCAACCAAGGCCCAACAGCCTTCAATGACCATAACGCTGGACCTAACATTTGAATTGCCAAAAAAAAAACTAATCTTTGATCAGAACCAGGATGGTGGAACCCATCACCATTTAAAGATAAGAAAAGTAATCGCAGACGTCCAGACCTGTAGGTAGAGGCACACTGATGTTGCCACTTACAGGCCCAGGAAGTGACAGATGCTGCAATTGCTCACACTTTTATTGCTGATAAAGGTGCAAGTTAGATTCGAATTGCAGATCTGAAGGTGCTTGGGCTGTGGCTCTGCAGCTGAATGACTATCAGGAATGGTTGCAGGCACTTCCCATGAATAACAAGACGTATGCTTGTTAATTAATATTTAGAACATATCTTATCATTTGAAAATACAGTGTATTTACCTTTTTGCAGGCGATAATTGGCAAGTACATCAAACAGCATACGAGAAGCAAGGGCTGCTTTATTTGAGTTGTGTGACATTCTCAACTTTGGTATCACTTATTTCTTAGCCTAAAGATAGTATGTTCTGTATTAGCAAACAGTCAGTTCTATCTCCCACAGTCCGGAACAAGAGTAGAGTTTTCACTGCTTTCTAATTTGTGATGTCACTCCCATGGACAGCTCTGCAGAGGAAAAATTGCAAAACATGGGAGAAATAGCGTCTGTGACAGCACCCCGGACGATTTTCTGCTCTGGAATTGATAGTGCTGCTAAATCTAAAGCTCAGTTTGATATAGAAAGTTCAGAGAGAGTTTGCAAAGTCAGTCTCGATGGAGCAGCTCCGGGCTGTACATTGATACAACATAACAGATGTCTTGCTTCTTTCATTTCCAGCTTTGAGGGAGAGTGTTATTCATTATCCCGAGCACTGATTGGACTATCCCAAACTAGATTGTGTTCATTCATTCTTTTTAACTGTGTGCTTTATTCGTCTGTAAGTCCATTTCTAATTAGTGTCTGTCATTTTTATTGTTCATCTTATTAGGTTTTAAACATTATTGTTTTACTTGCTGTGACGCACTTGCTAACGCCTTTGAAAAGTGTTATGCAAATAAAGCTTATTGCACAAGCAAATTTTATTTTCGGAGAGCTATTAAACTGTATGGTGCTGCCCTCCGAGTCAGTGAGAGACAGGCTCAATACTACAATTGTACACAGGATAAACACTGCAATTAAGATTATGGAAAATTACCAAAGATTGAAAACGAAAAGTAAAAACACATAAGTTTTCTAAACACTTAATTGTATAGCTAGTGCTGGACCCCATACGAATGCAAACCTATAATGCACAAAGGAAAGAAAGGAAAGTAGCAGGGAGGATGAGAGAAGGTGAACATGCAACAATTCTTCTTTTGTTACTGAAGAAAGAGAAGAATCAATGGTGAGAAAAATGCTGATAATAACAAATAACACTAATAACAGTCTGTGGGTGACAGTGGCTCGATGCCCATAGATTCTCATAAATACCTTTGAGACTCACTTTGTATTGAATTGACTGTGAAACCTCTCCCTCGTTCTCCATCTCTACTTTATTCTGTCCCTCTCCTCGCTCCTTTGTGTTGGCTTTGGCTCACGGAGGGAACAGCAGACACTTCCCTGATGTAACACCCGGCCATCTCCCAGGATAATTCATCACAACACAGACACTACACTATAGATATTGGCTTTGTGTGTGTGCATGTGTGTGTGTGTGTGTGTGTGCGCGTGCGTGCATGTGTATGTGTGTGTGCAAGAGAGTGAAGGAGGAAGAAAGAATGAGAGAAATAGACTAATATAGCTACATAATGCGGCAGGCGGGAAAAAATAATGTAGATAGAGACAGAAATCCACAGGAGACTGAGAGAGAGAGCGGCCCGGAGCGATGGAGTTAGTCCACTCTTCCTGGAAGTACACCACACTAATCTCTCCACCCCACCCCCCAAAAAAATTTCCCCTCCACCGGATGGCAGCGAGACCATTGTTGGAGAGCTATTCCCTCCAGATAGGTAAATCTTTTTTCCCCTCTCTGCACTAAATGGCAACTAAATGTCAGACTTCTGTTCAAGTCCAAGTTCACCTTTATTGTCCTATCTCATTTGCATGCTGAGGAGAGTTGGCAATAGGGGGGAGAAAGAGAGATATGGACCACTGAGGAGAAATGGTCCATTTGGTTAGTTCCACAGCTCTATTATAGCTATCAGTGCCCACAATCTCATAAAACACACCCCTGACTGGTTGCTCGCTTGCAAAACAGGCAGTCTAATTCACAGCACTTACAGCAGCGACCCCATTTGGGCAGTTAGTGCTGAATGGCTCGGCACAGAAAGGCCTTAGTTTGTGAGCCTGACATCTCGGCGTCAGATGGGCAATAGGCAGGAATGGGAAGGCCCTGCAGCGAGTGATGGAGCAAACGTGGAGGTAAGAGAGAGCCAGAGTGGGATGTAATTTACGCTCCCAGAAAATGTCCCCAACAAGGTTTTTCGGTGCTTACGGGAGCCAAATTAGATACGGGAAACCATCTATGCTTTATACCTTGCCTAACCTTTGGATCATTTCCCAGGGCTGTCTCTTCCTCTGTCGCCTGGCGCTCCCTGTCCTTATTCTCTCTGTTGCTGTGTCTTTCTTAACCCTCTGCCCTTTGTCTCATTGTCCCTCGCTATTTTCTTTATTCTTTCTCATTTTCTCTTTCATTCTAGCTTTCATACCCCGTCTTCTTCCTCGCTCTGATTAGGCCTCAACGTGCTTTCCAGAAAGGTGCAAGTCCATGTCTCGTGGGAGAGCAGACGAGGCTGCTCTGTTTAAATACTTAATAGAACTTACTGATAGTGCTGATCTGATAGAATTGTGGGGGAGAGTTGAAAGTAAGGTTTCCCTAAGTAGTGACCTCAACTACCCAATTAAAGCCACTCCGCGATCGAGGCGACTAACAAGTGAATAAACGTGTGCAGAACAAAAGCGCTTGAGTGTTGTATCAGTGAACAGTGAAAGCAGCTCTCTATTCCACAGTATTTTTGTCTCATCTTGGCATACAGTTCAGAAAATCTTCAGTGACTCTGACAGAGACTGTTCCCGACGAGAGTGTAGGAGTCAAATCAATGTAATTACAAGTCCTGGAAGACATAATCATTAGAAATGTGAAAATGTGTTCAGCTGCCAACTTGCACATATAAAAATATCATGCCGTATGTTTACAAATATGTACAAAATATGTCCCTGAGTTACAAAAATTTTGCTTTTATTTTCTGTGGTTAAAAATAGCTACATGCTCAAGTCTGTTAGAGCAGTTCTTTGAGCGTTGTTTACCTTCACGTCAGCTAATTATGCAGAAATTATTGCTGAAACTTTCCTTTTAACCACTCCTCATCATGTGGAAGATTTAACTCCAAGGTCGGCTACGAAAAAAAAAGAGATGTCTGGTTGTGCCAGTCATTCATTTTCTTGACATTTCCACAAGGTCTTTCTGTAACCGCAGTACTACAGGTGAGGATACTTACTATAACTCAATACTAGCACTTGAATGTATCTTCCATTTCATATACTTGAATAGATGGTATATGAAGTCAGTTTAAGGCTGTGTGAGACTGACACTTGCATGGTCCTTGCAGCAGAGTTCTTTATGTATTACAAGCTCAAAGCCATGAGACAAATACATAAGTGATAATATGGAATGGAAGTATAATTTTGGCTGTCTGATGCTCTGCTCAGTTCAACTCAATCAAATTTAGTTAAACCAACAGTAACAGGAGAAGATTCAGATTACATTAATATAATGTATAAGTAAATAAGAATATCTCATAAGCTACTTTGGAGCAACATTCAGCAAAAGCAGCTTGAATGACGTTAGCTCAGCAAATAGAATCTTGGGAGTCTGAATCAAGCTGAAATTAAAAGCTGACACACAATTACAACAGCAGAGCAATCTTTTTTCCAAATCATATGTAATCAAAATTATCTTTGCAGTAGCAAGGCAGATGAGAGACTGAACAGGCTGACCATTAAGTCAAGTGAGAGGATCCCAGCTTGGGACGTAGATGTTAGAGGCACAATTGAGGAGTTTGCACAAAGCCGAGCTCCTTGAATGAAAGTTGAGCGAGTGCTCTCTCTCGAGGGGATTTGGGGTTTCCGATTGGCTGCTCTGCCTGTTAGAGATGATTTCTATGTTGGATGGCAGCGGACCGTGTTGGGTTATGATTTGGGGGAAAAAAAAAAACTGCTGAGCAAAAGAGCACCATTACCACCATTACCAAAAAAAAATCTATACCTGTGTGCAGATTTGAGTTGATCCTCTGATAATCAGTAACATCTACTTACAGCTGATAGCTGACTTGTTAGTTGATTGGATTTTGTTACAGTGTCCATGTTCCTTTTCTTATTTTGTTTTTAATTTTCATGCTTGTTTGCATCACAACCAGTTCCAGCACATGCCCCTGGTTTCATGTACTGTAAAAAAAATCTTTTATATTCAAACCAAGTCATTAATTAGGTGGTTAGGTTAGTAGTGTCTCCAACAAAACCATGCTTTGAATATATTCAAATTCAACCAGTTGCCATTTACTCTAAACTGTTACAAATCATGGTTTTACACCATAGCCTTAAGCTCGAGCCAACGTCTGCAGAGTTTTATCACATAGATTACGTAGGGCATAAATAAGTATTGCTCCACCACAAAACATAAAACAAAATTTTGCTTCAATTAAGCCGCCCCACACATATTTCATAGGCAATGTTAAATATCCTTGATCATTGTTCCTTTGCTCAGATGTTTCCTAGCAGCACTAACAGAAAATCTGGCTAAGGTGGCAACTTTTGCCCTTAATTAGTTAAGAAAAATATGTAATGTTTTTCTACCCTGAGGCCCTCAATGAAATTTGCCTTCATTATAATATTGGTTACAATGATAATGTGCCATAAAGCCGACTTTGAAAAAAACATGTGATTGCCAAGGCCATGCTCTAATGAGAAGCTGTAATAAGCTCTGATCTCATCACTGGGGTTAACAGTGGATTATGCAGAGAGCTTCAAACTATGCTTTTAAAACAGTTAAAGCAGTCACACTGTTAGGGCAGAGAGTAAAACCATCTCCTAAATTAACTCTGTGGTTATCTGACTTTTTAATGTGGAATTGCTTCAAAGGAAAAGTGAGGACATTTGCAATAAGAAAAATGTAAAATGTGAGTGTTGGTGAGTCATCGCTAATGTGTTTAAAAGGCTTCAAATGTCACTGAGGACCAATACTTAGACACAGACAGACTCGGTTTGTCTGCAGAGACAAATGTTCACTCAGACACACACCTCGCGTGCCGTTGAAGAAAAGGGTCTGCCGGCGGGGGTTCTGGATGACCACGATGGATCCATCGTAGTTCTGCAGGCGGCAGGAGATCTGGGCCGTACCGCCCTCCAAGACTGTGACATTCTCCGCCTGCACCGCCTGACAATGAGCTGAGGGCGAGAAAGATGGATGTTAATAAAGTGATACAGAGGGAGGTTGATGGAGAGGAAGAAAAGGAGGGAGAGAGGAGAGGGACAAATAGGAGGAACAGATGCTGAGAGAAAGAGATGTTCAATTTGCACCTCACTTGAGATAGAACCTTTCAAAATAAGGTACTTAAAGCATCTTTCATTTATTGCTATTCATCATCTGGGAATAACAAGGGGGAAATAGAGAGAGGGAGAGAGACGGAGTGATAGAGATTGAGAGAGATTGAGTGGGAGAAAAGGCACTGAAGGACTCAACAAGTAAAAGAGGGTCCTTATAAACAATGTGTTCTTCTGATTATAATAAGGATGATTATAAATACTGCCATTTTTCTTTTTATGTGCATAAGCACACACATAGAAACGGCCCTATTGCCTCTGGCTTTAACAGAATGCATCAACACACACATTTGAATACATTACGCCTTATTAGATCTCTAAGTGGCTGCCGGTCTTGAATTTAGACACACAGCAGCACACACACACATGAATGGACACGCATAAACATGGCCACATATGGAACAACACACAAACACAATCAGATCACAGACTGCGGCACTGCTACTACTTGTGTGTATATTAATAGTCTAAACCGCAGTTTTATCGAATGAGAGTGTGATCAACTCAGTGTGTAAAAGCTGGTCAAAGTACGGATCAGCGAGAGCACCGTTACAGCCTCGGATGCACTTCACACAGTCTTAAAACCATTTCTCATCCAGGTGCAAGCTAAACCATTTGATTACACTCCATTATCCCGATGTAATGGTTCTTATTATAGGTATTTGGAAAGTGCTAGGAGGGGGGAATCATGCAGCGGCTTTGCCTCTTGTGAATGAATAAGCATATACAAATGGACACCTTCTTGAACATTTATGTGTGTACACATGCTCCAACAAGTACTCTCTCTCTCTCTCACTCTCTCTCTCTCTCTCTCCCAGATGAGGATGCAAACACACACCGAAAATACCCATGCACATGTACCACACTCGGCAAACTCACAGAAACTTTTTGCACATAATCTTTCAAACAAACTTGTCTGGCCCCTAAACCCGATGTTTTTTAGACAAGGGGGCTGAGGAGCAGCAGGGAGCCTCTTTGATGTTGCTCACAGCCCAAGAGTCAGTAATAAGGAGGTTGATTATGCTTTGATTGGAGCAGTGTTTGTGGGTCAGACTGTTGACACGGCTCGATTGAGTCACACCTCCCGCTGAGCACAATGGACACCGAGCTCCACCGCTTGAATTCAAATTATCTGCTGAGCAATTAGTCATATAACCACAGCCAGGAGTGGAATGTGATTGCCTTGAAGAGAGTACCAGCTTGCTGGGCTCCCCGAACTAGTATTTACCAATTTGCATCCCTATTTGCATTCCCTCTCTCCCTGGCAAAGTGTTGGCCGTGGGGAGGATTTAGGGAAAGAACGACATCAATATTGACACATGATGATGAAGCAGGCAATAAGGAGTGCCGATAAAGATGGCGTGAGTAAATATATTTCACTGCTGGGCCTAGCAGTGTCTCCGAGCTCGGTAAAACACCTTCAGAAGGAAAAAAAATGCTGTGAGACAAACAGATGGTGGCTGCCATAGAAGGAGTTGCTGACTTGACTGCTCTGGGCCGACATAAATGTCTATATCTGCAACTGAGCATGTCCTACGTTTCTGTGTTTGTGTGTGTGCGTACACATGTACAATGGGTGGGCATGTGCATTGGGTGTGCATATGCAAGGGTTGGAATATTGCAATTAAGCTACTTTGACATCATCTGATCCCGCCAACTTCATCCAAATTTAATTCTCCCCTCGATTTTAATCTCTTTTAATGAAATACTCAAAGCCTACATATTCATCATATCAGGGGAAGGAGACACAGTGGATATTGAACTGAAGACAGAAAGAAACCAAGAGGGGATAGACAAAGGGGACTCTGATACTCTATGGAACAGAGAAAAAAAAAATCTTGACAATTACCACTAATTGTAGTCATTATTGCTGCCATTCTCTACATCAATATTGTGATTCATATCGAGGGGCATCAGGGCCTGCCACTGCCATTGCAATTACTTTTCTAATCGCTGTTATTACTCATCACCATGGCAACCGGGCTAGGCCACCATTGTTTTAAACAGTGTTAATTGTAATAGTGCTGCAGTGCATCCTGACTTCGTCAGTGCAGCACCCGTGTGTGATTAGTGACCCATCAGGACCAAGAGAGAAGTCAGAGCCACTCCAGACAAAGAAAGTGGTCAGAAGTTTGCTTCTGGGAGGTAGCCAGAAAAACTACTTAGCTGTCCATTTATACACCCACTTCTCCTGACAGCTGCCACCCCTTTCAAAGGAAATTATCTTCAGCGGCATAGCGGTAAAGTGCAAAGAAAAAGCAACAAAGAAAAATAAAGAATTGTTAACTGCTGTTGTGAGTGGGACGACTGGCATCCGCTATCGCCTGCTGAGAGATGCCACCCAGAAACACCTGCTGGCTGCTAGGGGATGATCAATCTGGGCAAAGAGAACAGAGGCATGGGGAGACGGTGGCGGGGGTGGGGGGCTCTAACCAGGAAATTATAGCAGGGAGTTAGGAAGTGATGGTTTCGGTATAATAATGCAGCTGGCGGGGGCTGGACGAAATATATGAGAGATGACGCATATTCTTCTAGTCCCGCTCATAACACAGCTGGGTACAGCACTTTAGTTTGACTGTAGGTTTTATAGGCCGCCATTCATATCAAGGCCATGAGTTTGTGCTTCTGATCACCAGCACAGCACAGTGCAGAGAGGGAATGAGAAGGAGGCGGAGGGAATCAACCTCTGTGACAGAGGTATTAATCTGGGCCCCATTAAAATCTTTGCCCATAATAAAATACTCCACAAGCGTTGAATTATATTAAGAGAGAATGCTGAGAGCAATCAATACCATGGTAGTGCACTGACAGCTATGATCAAAGGATAAATAAAACAGGAGGGGGAACAAAAACAATCACTTCTCTCTCCAACCAAGTGGGGGCAGTATTTCATAGCAGTCAATTGGTGCTTCTTATCATTTGAAATGCCTCCACACCCCCCAACCCCACACCCACCCAACCCCCTGGTGTCAGGCCCTGGAAGAAGAAGGAGCCTTTATTTACTACGGCAATAGAGATCCAAGACGGGCCATCATTTCAAAATACATAAACAAATAAATAAATAATAGGCGTGCAAATTCATAAGACAAGGCTGTTCAGGGGCCCGTCCTAATAGTCCCGCAATGGGGTTGAGTTATAAGCCGCGGGAGACGGGGGATATAGAGGGACAGTGGGAGGGGATAAAGGGAGGTGTGGAGAGTTAAAAGAGGTGGATTTGGGAGGCAGCCAGGTGGACTGCTGGCTAACCCTCGGTCACGGTAAATTCTAGAAACTGCCTCAGTGGTGCAGGGTTAGCGGTCTGAATTACCGCCTTGCTGCGCCTCTCTCCCTCGCTTTCGCTCTCCCCTTAATTCTCTCCCTCCACGTCTCAAGAGTGAAGAGAGGAAAAGACAGAATAAAAAGACGAGTCACATAAGAGAGGAGCTGTCTCCATTTGCCCCAAACAAGCCCCCATGTATCCTTGAAGCAGTGCCGTCACTGTCTCCCTATTCATTATCTCTCATTATCTTTCAGTTGGAAGTGCGCCAAGAGCTTGTGTTTTCTTTGCATGCTGGCCACGGATTTACAAGGGAATCGATGCAGGAGACTACAATGCACAACCCCTTATGTTATTACTGTTTTAATTAAAACAATAACGGCGGCTCATAGTTTCCACTCGTCTGGGGGTCATCCACTGGCAAGTTCTCCATCTCCTCCCCATCTGGATGTACATTTTTCCCATTATCCCCCGAGTCTGCGAGACAAGCCGGTTTGCATGGTATGTATGCAAATGAAGTTTGCAATGTTTATGTGTGCGTGCGTGTGTGTGTGCGCGCTAACACTTGCTCCAGGTTAATCACAGAGTTTTGCAGTGTACTGACTCTATGAAATAGCTGACTTTGAGGTTCTTCTCCTCCATACCTCCCTATGCAGACCCATCACTCTACCCCCCCCCCTTTTCTCTTCCCAGTCTAAAATTATCACTCCATCTCTCTCAGGGAGCCAGAGCTCTGCCAATCAAATCCAGTGCAAAGAAAAAAAAAATGCTCCCTCTATAAATAATACATAATCCTTTACAAATCTCGCTCTCGTCTCTCTCATTACCTTCGTTCTGTCACTTTCTCCTGTCCTCCTTTTCTCCCCTCTCCTCCGCTCAGCCTTTCTTCTCATTTTTTTTTGGTGCATACTCCCCCCCCCACCCCCCACCTCCCTCGTTTCCACTTAGTCCACAACTCATAATTCTCTCCTCCCACTGCCTTTATGTCTAATCTCATTCTCACCATCTCCCTCTTTCTCTTTTTATTTAAACCCACAATCTCTCCATTCCTCTCCACCCCACCTTCTGCCTGATCTAATCCTTGATTCCTCCTCCTTTCATCAGTCCCCTCTCCTTTTTTCCCGTCTTCTCCCTCCTTCTCTTCACCCTTATCTTTTATTGCATCGTTCATCATGCATCTTCCTCATCAGAGCTGTCCTGAAGATCCCCCGCTCCTCTCTACTCCTCTCAGAGGCCTCAGGAGAATTGTTACAACTCTGTAACTTGCCGTCTCTTCACTCCTGTCCCTCCTTCTTTTTCTTTTTCTTAGTGTAGTTTTTTCCCCCCTTTGCAATAGTTTCCTTCCAAGCCGCAATACGCTTTCATTCCCCTTGCAATCTCTGTCTCATTCTTCCTCTTTTTGTGACTCAGTGGGAATCTTTTCCTGCCTCTCTGCTGGTTCTATCTCCCCACTCTCCTTCGCTAAATGTGATTTGTTCTGCAGCTCAAGTCTGCAGCATAATCACGCTGTTTTTATAGTGTGCTGGGAGAGCGGAAGAGAGGGAGCAAAGGAAAGACAGGGAGAAAAGTGAGAGGGGTGAATGGGAAAAGAGGACAAAACAAATGAGTGGAGTGGGAGACTCGTTTTTTCCTCCCTCTTTCATCTTCTCCTCTTCTTTTGCTTCTTTTAATTGCCTGTCATATAGCTCAACCCACTTTCCACTTTCTATCCCTCTCTTTTTCTCTCTCTTTCTGTCTGTCTTCCTTAATCTCTCCCTCCCTCCCTCTCTCTCTCTCTCTCTTTGGCAGGAACTTCAGACCTTCTCTCATCCAACTCTCTCTCCATCGCCCACTGGTGTACCGTGAGCACTCCACTGCTAATCAGCAAAATCAGCATAAAATTGTCTCTTTTCACTCCTGACCTCGCATTAGAAACATTAACTTTCATTTATTTACATATTTCACATGCTGTTTTTTAAGACTCTGACTTTGCTCCTCGGTCACGCTGTCTCCATCCTCGGCATTGAAATCTGTTGTCTTCCTCCTCTCATGTACCCCCCCCCACCCTCCCTCCTCCCCGTGCTCTTGCATCTCTCGTTTTGACCTTCGCATCTTTATGTCTCTCCAGCCCTTCGGTGTATTTCAATCACCTCGTCCCTCTCTTGCCCCATCCCCTCTTCTTCCCCGCTGCATTGCATCTCCCTGAGCGCTCTTCTCTCATCTTGTCCACCCATCCCATTACTCTTTCTGCTCTTATTCACCTCTTCTTACCCTTCACAAACCACCATCTTCTTCTCTCTTTCCTTTCTCCTCTCTTTCCACCCTGTTCTCTGACAGCCAAAGCTGGTTAGCTCTATCTACTGTGCAGCATTTTATGGCCCGGGTCTGTCACAGCCTTAACAACCCTGCAACAATGGCCACCACACACACCCCAACAGCGGCTTAAAGGAAATTTACAGGGCTATTACGCGACGGCTACCACACTGGAGATTCACCACAGCCAAAAGCACTGGTCTTAACACCCCTTCAAAATCCACCACATGGCAGCCTTCCCTTTGGTGTGTGTCTGTTTTGTGTGTGTGTGTGAGATGCTGATGAATGTGTATGCGGCAGAGAGGAAATATACAGGCGTGTGCATGCATGTAAAAGCAAGAGCATTTGTGTGTGCGAAATGGTGTCAAATGTGTACGAGAGAGTATATGTGTGTGTGCACACTCAAGGCCCAACACAAAACTGCCCCACTGGCATGAATTACATAACCACACTGACTGCCAAGACACAAACTCATTCTATCTCTGTATCCCTCACTCCCCTATTGTCACCCCCACCCAGCGTCCCCCACAACATCCGACAAAACACAATGTCCTTCTGTTGATCTAATATGCAAAAAAAACAAAAAAAAACACAGTACTGAATTGAGATTTTGGCTGGCACAGAGGAGAAGGCACTGTGCGCAGTGGTACTACGCTTGTTTACCAATGAGCAGCGGGGAAAGAACATCTTCCTGTATTAAATACATAATAGTAATGACAGGCAGTATTAATAGCACCCAGCAACTCTGCCAGTGATCCAACTCCACACCGTGCACTGCTTTTTCCGACCGTCTCTACCTCGTGTTCAGTCAACCTTATGACTCTTTGGTTTCAATTCTCGGCCTCATGCAGCTCTTTTTTAGACCCTGTCCCTTGTTTCATCTCTGTACCCCTCCCCTCCATCTCTGTCTTTCTTGCACAGACAGACACAGACTGTATTGTTCTCTGTCTCGCTGTTTCTCTTTCTCCCTCTGCACATACAGTACAAGTTTCTATCTGGTCCAGTCCTTTTTTCCTTGTGCCAGCATGTCTCTCTCTCAACATATATTGGTCTGTTGCACTGCACTTTTACCCCCATTCTCTTTCTATTCAACAAGCTCTCCATTTGACTCGCTATATCTCTACCACTCTGGGGTCCAACTTTCTTTTATTAGGTTCTTCAGAGGAAAAGCTGAGAAAAAGGCCTCAGCCAGTTTCTTTCTCTATTTTCATTCATGACTGTTTCCCTTTAAGTCCTTTGGTCCAAGCGTCTGTTCTCTTTCTCTGCCTGCTTTCTCATTCCCCGGTCATTTCACCTCATGTGTATACACTCCTGTCTTCAAATTCTCTCTTTTCTTAATCTTAATTACCAATTCTAACTTAATTACCAGCATTTTGAACAATTCATCTGAAGCGCTCATTTCTTGATTCCATCGTGTGGTATTCTTCCCTTGGTCATTTGCTGGGCACTGCACTGGATCTCGTTCTGTATCAGTTTACTGCAATTAGTATCATATTCACAATTGTGTTCTCTTTTTTGTATAACAGAAGCATCCCATTACAGCATTTAGAGGTATATCTGCAGGGAGTTTAAATTAAAAGAACAAAGAGCTTGTACGTAATTGCCACATCTTGGCTATAATATGAAATGAATGTGTACATGTGAACATTATGTGCTTGTTTCCCTCACTTATTTGATGTGTAATGACACCTGAGTTTCCCTCTGGAATCAATACTGCACGTCTCATTTAATCTTTATGAGTGTGTATGTGCATGTGAGTGTTCAAGCGTTGCATGACTTACGAGTGATGCAGAGCAGGACCAGGACCAGGCTGCGCAGGGCCAGAGCGAAGGGGGCAGGGAGGAGGCGGCAGAGGACAGAGCTCTGGACAGGCCTCATTGTGTATTGAGAGGCTGTGTGTGTGTGTGTGTGTGTGTGAACGTATCTTTCTGTCTATGTGTGTGTGTGTGTGTCTGTGTGTGTGTGTGCGTGGATGTGCACGTTTGATCAATGGGTCCTCTGTGACCCTGCCTGCACTGCTACAGACAAACTAGTCCACACACACACACATACACACACACACTGATTTGTTCTCTGCAATGCTGCAGGCACGTGCACACACTAACTGCCCAGCTTTACTTCAGTGCAATCAGACAGAATTCGTTGTTTGAGGAGGACGCTTTAAGAAAGGACTCTTATTTGCTACACTGCATCACAACGCATGCAAAGAAAAACTGCTTTAGCTGCAAAAGAATAACATAGAATTGAATTGTAGCCAGGGCTTGAACGCAATACACAGAAGTCTGGCCAGAGCTAGTGATTTAGACACTCCATCACAATGCACATAGAAATGAGCTTAGAGCAACAAAAATGTTCCACTGTTGACTTTAACACCATGTGCTGCTTAGAAATAACTTACAACATGCAGTGTCTTAAATCCATACAGTGCAGAAGCTTTGCTCCTACAAAGCAGTACAGGGGCTCAGTCCCATCTAAGCAAAATGACAACAAAGCAAACACGGCAAGGGGAGCTATTTACTACCACAGTGCTCTGAGCCTAAGACCAAAGCCCAAGACCCTCAGATCAATAAGCCGGAAAAAGCAATACCCAACGTGACCAAAGCAGACCTGCAACACTTTACTGTTTACGAGCAATGGTCGTCAGTAATGGCAGCTATCCAACTAACCAAACAAGGAACAACTTCATTTACTGATCATCATCTCCACGCTGCAGTGTCAAACTCAGCGCTAAGCTAGTTCCGAGCACCAGGTGCCCAGAAAACCACCCACAGAACTAACCACAACAACAAATAGACTGCTTCTCTACTGTAGGTCAAACCGCACTGCTCAAAGAAAAGAACAGAAAAGATCAATAATACTATATTTCAATCAGATACAGGCCGGGAAACTGTCTCGCCAAGCAAGTGAGGTTTATCTCCACTGATGTTGACTGAATGCCAACTTATGAAATGGAGCTACCTACGTTGCTGTGCCCTGGAGGACAAGAGAAATCTGGGGCAACAATATTCATTCAAACAGATTTTATTTTAATGAGTCAAACAAGGTTTTCAGCACTTCTCACCCGACAAAATTGGCAGGCGGAAGTCAATGTTCCTTTGAGCTATTAACTGAACCGGGCAGGCCTCTGGAGAGAAGGAGACACCATCTCACTGCAACTCATCTGGAGATAGCTAAGGTTAAATAAAATCCACTGAGCTCAAGTGCCGCTCTATAAAGACAGAGAGTGGAAGTGCCTGCTCTGTGTAGAATAACCAACTGGAAAAGGGTTTGGGCAAACTGCGGTACTACGCTTTAGTTTCTGATATTACACTTTTTGGTCTGCTATTTTACTCCAGAGACTAGCACATTATTCTCACAAGGTGTCTACCATTATTCGCTTGAATGCCAGAGCTCTTTCGATATGCTATCATGTATACACTGTAGCGTAAACGGACAGTGATTTTACATGGTAATTTTCAGACTCCTCAGAATAATCACAGGCTATCAGACAGTATAATCGTGCAGCATCGACCTGCCTAACTCTTCCTTTCCAACATGCTCCACTGGATGCAGTCAGCGCCTGGGTGCACTCCAGACACACGCTCACTCATACACACTGATCTGAGAACCTGCTACGTTTAAGGTCCGGACAGAGTTCCTGCCGATTGTCAGGGACCTAATGCGTCATCCGTCTCCGAGAGTGTGTAGCTGTGGTGTGTTTGCATGTGTAAGTACGCGTGTTTTATGTGTGTGCACGTGTATGTGTTTGCAGTGTAGAGACAAAGCGTGATGAGCTGCAAGACACACCTCACTGAACACTATCTGATGGACTAAAGTGCGGGTGTCATCCTTAGATTACTACACACTGCCCCGCTCTCTCACTCCCTGTGCCACTGCAAACACAATGAACTCTAATGGCGACGGCCCTGACACTTCTGGCAAAGCCGAAAGCGGATCATCGCCAATCTTCCCCACGGCTCTGACTTCACCCGTCAACTGGCTGACGCTGAGAAAATTACTCTGTGTCGGTGTACACCAGTAGCTCGGGTCTGGCAGTTCTGGGGCCTGGCAGCAGACGGGTGGAAAACAAAGCGCATTTACTTGTTCAAACTGATCTCCTCAAATTGTGTTTAGTTTAATCCGTTCTGTCCTCTTTCCCCCTCCTCTTCCTTCAGTCCTCCAGTCAGTGCATAGCAGCTAGTTATTCCCCACAAATGTGTCCTTCCTTTTGCTTCACTTCTTTCCTGTTGGTCTATGAAAATAGCTATAATCCAAATGTGGTATCACTGTTGATCACATCCATCTGTCTTTCCGTTCTCTGTCTTCCACTTGTTTATATAACCCTGGCCTCCCTCCCCTTGCTTAGAATGTGTGTGTGTGTGTGTGTGTGTGTGTCAGTGTGGGATCAGTGTCTGCATACTCTGCATACTATTTTGTGAAGGTTAGGGACATGTGTGTGTGTGTGTGTGGATGGAGGCAGCGACAATGGTTGCCTTTCAGGTCAACAAACAGTGGCGGTGTGTGTGTCTGAATGTGCTTGACTGTCCACTGTTGACTGAAGCAGAGTGTACATTTGGCTGTCTCTTTGGCCCTTTCACCATCTACTACCCATTAGTTTATCCATGCAGGCTCACACTGAGGCATCACAGTGCCTCTTTATGTTAAATGGCGGTTTTTATGGCTGCAGGGATGCGCACGGCTGTCTACTGACAAGAAATGTGCACGATGTTTGTGTGGGGCATTTGTAATTCGAAGCGGATGTGGGTAAAGCAGAAATAAACATGACTATGACAGTGTTATGAGTTATGCTGATGTGAACATGGCTCAGTAAAAGGTATCTGCTCCATATCTTTACACTGATGAAACAGAAATCATTGCTAAGAGCTACTCCAACCTGTCAGTACGTTTTGCATCAACACATGCATAATGCAGTTCCTTTGTTCATGCTCATTGCCGCTCGTACTATCATTACTGATATTGGCAATAAAACTGGCAAAACAAATCCAATGGCTAGAGCTAACTACACTAGACTGTGTGTCTATGACTTTCATTGTCCTGTAAAATGCGAAAGGCAACACAATTTTGCTATTATAATAGCACCTCTACTTGTTCTTAATCAACTGATCATAAAGTACCAGCTCTAATCTGCCACAAGCTGTATTTACAAACATCTTTATGCATCCAATTTGAAACATGCTGTTCCCTATTATCAAGTCAAATAAAGTCAAATTTATTTATGAAGTGCTTTTAACAAAATAGGGTCATCGCAGAGTGTTTTATAGGGAAACAAAGGACATAATTACATACAAAAAGAACACACTGCAAATCACTGCGCGACTGGTGAGAGCGTGTGTGTATTTGCATGTCTGCGAAGTTCCTGTGTGGGCAACCCCCTCATGGGTGTATTTGTTTTTGTCGCAGTCCGTGCGGAAGCAAGGGAGGTAATAGCAAATTGTGTACCCTATCCCCCAATCCTCTTTTTTTCCCCTCCCTCTCTCATCGAAATCAAATTTTTAATGGGCTTCATTGGTGCCACCGTGGAATAAGTGTTGCCAAAGCACTTAAGGGGCTTAAGTCAGCGGCGTGCTGAAAATATTAAGCACTCAAACAGCCTTACAAGGATCCCTGCCTGCTTAAGTATGCCAAGGAGGTCGTGCCAGCATTTAATACCAATTGTATTAAAGCGCTCCGACAACGGAGAGGAACAGAAATATAGATATATACAGTATGTACCACAACTGGGAATAGATGGAGAGATAGAGGCTGGCGGGAATAATGGAGCGAGCCAGAGGAGGCATGAGGTGGGAGACGAGGATGACTCGAAGGGATAGAGAGACCAAAAAATGGTGGAAGAGTAGTGCAGCTACATAGAAAAGAGAGAGGAGGAAAGTGAAAGGAAGTGGTGAGACCGTCGGAGAGAGGTAAAGGAGGAGAGAAGAGGAAATTTGAAAAAAAAAAAAAAAAAAAAAAATGGGCAGTGTAGAGGAAGAGAGATGCGAGGGATTCAGGCCAAGGTGTGGGAGGTAAGGGTTGATGGGATAGCTGTGAACCAGCAGCAGAAGGCTAATGCAGAGATTCTATCGGGAGGCTTATCCAAGATTAAATTTCTTTTTGTCCTTAAGGCTCTTCTTGGGTAAGCGGAAGTGTCGAATTTATTTCTTATGTCTCCCTTGAGGTTTTGCAGGAGAGTGGGTTGGGAGCGTGTGTGTGTGTGTGTGTGTGTGTGTGTGTGTGTGTGTGTGTGTGTGTGTGTGAGGATGTGGTGGGGTACATGTATATGTGCCTGTGTAGGTGTGAATCTTGAGGGTTTATTTGCTGGCAAAGTGTGAAGGAGGGCATGTGTTCCTGAAAGGTAAAGATAAATCAAATGAACACCTCCCCAAGGGTGTTTGAGCATAAGAGAACATCCAAGTATTAGTGTGGTTACATTAATGTAGGCATATGAACTCATACATATAGATATTCATGAATATAGATTGTGTATATTCAAGTGCAATTCAAATAACACTTCTTTTTTTTTTAAAGTTTGTTTTGTGGAGCTGCCACAAAGTCCCAAAGTACTCGAAAGTCACAGGAAAGTATTATCTGACTTGTCCTGATTGAGTAATCTCCTCTGGGATTCTCTCCAGTGTAAACAAAACACACAATACTATTTACAAAACCGATGAGCTTGATCCCTTATATGCTATCTTCAACTTTTACAAGGAGAGCATTAGAAACACCAAATTAAAAGCCTTTTTTTTGTTTGTTTGTTGTAAAAACAAGTGTTTTGACCCAGGTCTGAATACATTCACATCTGGGTTGGCGTGCTCAGCCCCTCCCGGGCCCTCTGCTCTCCCACTTCTCTCGTTTTTCTGATTTCTTGTTTGTCTGGCTGACTTGGTGTTAATAGCTAGCCTAGAGCCATGCACTAGCTAATCCAACTCGGTTTGCTCTGAACTCTCTAATTAGAAAAGTCACTGCTTCTCGATCTATGGACACTATCAGTTACTGCAGTTTCTGGAGGCACGGCTCAGGCTACTTCCTGCTCACCACATGCTGCTAGGCAAAGGGATCAATAGGGCCCAATCATTTGGATACATTTCGAGTGACACCACCCGGCTTTCTTCACACAACTTAGGATTACAAAGTTTTGATTTTCTTTATTTTTCACAGTCTGCTGATAGTGGAGCCTGGCAAATAAATAAAAGTCAATATGGCTCACATCACGACTGGCTAACAAGAATACAAAGCAGATGTAAGGATTTGAATCGCTGGCTGAAATGACATGGTTTGGATAGGAATGCACATCCAGGGTGTTTTCTTTCATATACTCCTACATTTCCTCACCTTTCTTTGTGTATTTAGAGTAAGCCCAGAGATTAAAGTCAGTTGCTGGCAGACAACAGGATTGGCACTGGTTTTACAGAGTGGAAGGAAGGACATAAAGGCACTCTGGTAACCATTGTAGACATCCTATTATTAGTCTCATCCCATTATGCATTTACCGTGCATCAACTGCGCATTAAAGGGGACAATTTCATCTTATTCTTTTCCAGCCTGGCAAAGAACTGAGCATGCATTTTAGAACAAAACACTGTGAAGACTGCAAGAACCGAAGATGGAGAATGACATTGATGGCTTGTGCTAGTGCAGCTAAAGAAGCCATCTGAAGCTCACTGCTCCAGTAGCAATGCTCTCCTTTTGTTTAATTCTCTGTGGTGAATTCACTTAATCAGATAGAGCAGTTATTTAACAAACACAGGACTAAGAACCTCTCTCACATGCACATGCTTTCATCCTGAAGACTAGCAGAAATCTTCCTGTCTTGGGGCCATACATGAATGTGAGCCAGATTTGCAATTTCGCTCCACAACAAATCCTGGGGAATCTCGCTCTTTAATGCCAGTGCAGACAAAAGCTAGAGGACTCAGATGAAAAAATATATATATTAAGAGGAGATTCTAACAACTTTCTCACACCAAGAGAAATGCCTGGAAATGAAACTAATTGGTACAAATGAGCTTCTTGCTATCCAAGCATCAGATTATATTCTCGTACCACAGTGAGGACGGACATCCTTAAATACAACTTGTAGTGTTACCTTAACTACGGTACATAGAATTACAGGTTCCCCTGTGCAGCCCTATCATTGTGCATTCAAATAGAACTAATTTTGGAACATATTGATCCCTGAATTAAATTGTTTAATCAATGAAACAAGGAAACATTTACAAAGTGAACACAACTTTAGGCAAGTCAAATCACTTGGTTAAGGTACGAAGAAGACTGTTAATGTTGATGGCAACTTGAAGCATGAGATGGGATGCACTGACTCGCTAACTACTGTTTCAGTAGCCTAAAGCCATTAACACGGCAACTTAACAGGACAGAAAAAGCCACCGCGAAAAGTTAACACAGCAGTTGTACACATTCTTTATGAAAAGGGCTTCAGAAGAGGCTGAAGGACTGCAGCCTCTGTGTGAATAACATCTGTAGCACTACCAGTGCAGAGAGATACAGCAGGATTCAAGTTAGCTACAGGTTTTCTCATTTGCTCAGATAAAGAGAACTGCAGGGTACAAGGAGTTAGAGTATATAAACCAGCATGGCTCGAAACTTTTCAACACAGATGTGGCACTTAGATGTGCTCCTGGCCGTTTGCTGTTTTAATACATGCATTAATAGTACACACTCATCTCAGAAAACATACGAGGTTTCAGTATGAGAAGGTATTACAAGCATATTTTATGTATAACCACGCATGGCCTCCCCCATTGGGATGCAAGAGAGCACGGAGCTCAGTCATCCCTTATTCAGTAAGATAAATGCAAACAATGCTACCTGCCAAGTTGAGAACGTACTGTTGGAGCTTCCTAACGAGTGTTTCTGTGTGTGCTGCGAGCCACATGCTACACAGCTACCTGCTGGGAGTACCACTCATTATCCATGTGGCATCATACCTCCCAGTGACAGGCTACGACTCCCTGCGCACTGTTTTCTCTGCTGCAGTGCACGTGTCAGCCTCTCTTCTTTATGTTCCCGGTGCATGCGCTAACATTTGCATGTCGCATGTGTGGAATTCTTCTTTGTTCCCTGATGTGTGTACCCCTGACAGATAGCTTGTCACTGTGCCTATATGTGCGTGCACAAGTTCATTATCTTGCTCTGTACTTTCCAGGTATGTGCGTGTGATGTGTTATTGATGTGCATATCAACCTGTCATGGCCGCAGCTTATGATGTTTCAGTCTTGTGCTCTCTGCAGGAGGACAGTTTGCATATCTCGGCGTGTATGTGTGTAGC